GCCCAGACCCCAGCACCTTGCTGCCACTTCCCCTCAACCCTCACCAATATTCTTGCAACCAGAAGCCAAGCTGCACAAATCTGCAGCTGACTCTGATGCAGCCACAGCATCAATGGAATGATTTCACCCACGCCAAGACAGCCTAAGCCCTCCACTTTGGTAATTCTGCAGCTCCAGGGTGCTATTTGATGGGACTGGTGACCTGGGGATGGCTTGGGGACCCAGGACACAGAGCCACAGGGCATGCAACTGTTGTAGCACAGGTAAGGGACCACTGCAGTACTGAGTGGTGACAGTGCAAGAGATTCCCATTGGTGACAGGCTCCCAACACGCAGGTGCCTGGTAATCCTGCCCAGGTGAATTATGCAACTCTGAATACTTGCTCTCTGCATATATCTGAGAACTTCCACAGCTTCCTCTACTTCCTGCTTTGTGCTGCCTGTGAACAGCTGCCACACTCATGCTCAGGGTCAGGAATTGGTTCCTACACACAGAATCTACTAATGATGGGTTATAAAGAGGCAGTGGGAATAACCCCAGCATCTCACCCTCTCCCTCAGGAGGAACCTCCTCAGAGCCCTGAGAAAGCAGACAAACCAGGGCCTTAAGTTTTAGGGTGTACCTAAAACATGCAGGAGCAACAGAGTCTGTGCCACCACCTGTGCTTCCCTCCCACCTGGGCCTCTGCAAAACCCCCTTGCAGAGGCTGCACGAAGGAGTGACAACCATTATGCTATTTCACTCAGTCCCAGGGAGCAGCCTTCCTGTGAGAGGCTGTCTGTGCTGGCCACCCACGTGTACCAGACTCCCAGTGCTGCCCTGGTGCTAGGGCAGGGTGAAGGCACACCCAAGGGAATTGCCCACAATTTCCCTGTGTACCTGGGTTTTTCTTCCTGGTCTGCACAAACTCTGAGTGCCGCAGGACACTGGGAGCCGTCCGTCTGTAGAAGCTGTTTCTCTGCAGCACAGAGCCCACTCTGTTTGCTTCCTCGGCCTCCTGCTCCCACACCTGGCTCCAGTCTGGCCGGCCTGTGCGTACCCTTGAGTGCTCTGCTCCACTGCTGCTCTTGGCTGCCATCCCAGGCCCTGGGGCTTCTCCTTCCAGCTCCCCACAGCCGTCGGAGTCAACGACACGCGTCTCCAACTGTGTGCAGCCTGCAGCTGACCCCAGGTTCACACTACCATCTCCCAAGGACCTGACCGCAAATGCAGGAACTTCACAACCTCTGTCTGGACTGCTGTGGTACATGACATGGCCTTTGGCCCTCCTCTGCTGTTCAATGTCTTCTTCATCTATTTGGTCCCTAGTACCTGCACGTGGCCTTTCCTGCTCTCTATATGCTCTAGGGTTTCCATCATCTCTATACCACTTTTCCCCTTCCCTATATATTTGATTACCTCCATCCTCTCTATACTGCCTTCTCCTCTCCCTATACTCCCCAGAGTCCCTCTCCTGCCTGTGCCGCCATTCCTTTTTCCTGTAATGTCTTCCATGCTCACTGTAGGCACTAGGATCTCTGTAGTCCTGATACCACCTTCCCCCCTCCCTACAGTCTCCAAAGCCTCTATCATCTCCATATTGCCTTTCCCTCTCCCTATACTGCCCAGGTACTCTGTCCTCTCTGTTCCACCCTCCTCTTATCTCAGAACTGCAGTTTCTGTATTGAACACCCTCCCTTTCATACACCCGGTAGTTTCTGTCCTCTGTATCCTGTCTTCTGCCTTCCCAAACATTGTCTGCTCTCCCGCAGTCCATGTACTGCATCTGTCCCTTCCAAAAACCTCCATTCCTGCTCTGTTGGTCCACGGAGATGTCCTCCTGTCTCCTGGAACTGTCCCAGCCACTGTCTGCTCCTCGGCTGCCCGGGTACGGCCTCCTTGTCGCCCCGGGTGTGTCGCTGCAGCCAGCCACGTCCCGTCTCTGCACAGCACAACAGTCCTCATATTCCCAGCTGAGAAGCCGCGGTTCCCGTCCCGGATCCTCCATGCAGCGCTTCCTCTAAGGACAGGCGCACATAGTCCTGTGGGGTGTGCGCAGGGCCCGACTCCCCTCACCCTCTGCTCCCTGAGCCCAGCCCCAGGCTGACGGCGCTCCTGCGCTCTGCTCCAGCACTGCCGTCCCAAGTGAAACGCAGGTGCTGCTTCCTGAAAGCAGCCAGCAAAGGCACGGGCCCAATCGCCGCAGCCCCAGCCTCCTCCACCTGCTGCCCAAAGTAATCAGTAACCAGCCCGGAGCGAGGAGGGGAGCCAGGCTGGGCTGGCCTGCACCGCCCAAACCGGCTCCACCGCTTTGCCAAAACCTCTCTGCAGGCAGCTCTGAGGCAGGGAGGAGGAGGCCACTGGAGCATGCAGCGGCCCTGCCCTGAGACCAATGTCCTCAGGGAAGGGAAACAGAGCATGTGTGAGACCGCAGGAAGCCACAGAGCACAGGTGGGATACCAGATCTTCTATTAGATCTTCTTCTTTCCACCCCTGCTGCATGGAGGACACAATGTGGTCTAGAAGAGGCCGGGCTCTGCTCCACACTTCACTGGGGCAAGCTGAGGCCTTCAGGCTGCCCCTGGCTCAACCCTGATGCTGAGCCCATCCTCTTCCCAGCCCTCACCCGCAGTCACAAGAAGGTCAGGAGAGGAGCTGCTCCCTGCAAGACAGACCGGTGCCTCCACAGTGCCATGCAGTCACAGCTGCATGGTTCCCTGCCCCAGGGGAACAGCTGGTCCACCCGCTGACAGGAACGGGCTTGAAGGGATTACTTGCGTTATGGAGTCTGGTGCCAACACACAAAATAAGTTTCCAGAAGGCTATAGAAATATGCACTCCAGTGATGCTTCTTACTGCAGGGCACAACATATTCCCAATTTTCCATGCCAAACACAGAGCTCCTATAAGAAACCAAGAGACAACCACAGCATGCCCTTGACCGAGAGAGCAAGAGTCTGTCGATGTCATCCATGTCTCAGGTTCTTGCAACACTTGTTAGGAATGCAGAGCCCATGCTCTCAGCTGGTAGAAGACAAAAATAAACCAATGGACTCTCCTAGTCCAACTGCAGGAGGGCAAGCGCTAAACCTGCTGCAGCCTGGTCATCAGTGAAACCCCAGTGTGCTCATAAGACAGACCAAAAAAGCAACCTGATGATTGTAAACATTTTAAACATTTACTGTAGAAAACCACATATTTTCTACTCTTCTACTCTGGCTTCCCAAAAGATACACTGAAGGGCTGGATTTCCCACTGTGAGCTATTCCCCCTATAAGACTATGCATGCCCTGATTTCGTTGCTGGTCAAAGCTTAGTGAGAGCTTTTCTGCCTCCAGTGTCTCCACATTCCTAACAGTGGTTAAGGCAGAGGTCATGCCTCAGGCATGGCACAAACACGTCTTCCTGAGCTGATGCAACACCAAATTACTGTTCTGCCTGCTGCACTAGAGGTGGCCTAGCAAGACATGCTCTCTGGCCACACTCAGATGTGTCAGAAGGGACATGGCAGAGCTTGGGTAGGACACATCTTTATCAAAGGGTTAAAGAGGTCTCTTGAATGTGAGAAAAATCCCCTAGGACAACTGAAGGGATAGTAACTCGAGGATTCCTCAGCATAGTGCATTAGTTCTTGCCTAAAACTTCTAATTCCAGGAACCAACAGGTTCCACAGGATCAGTCCTCTGCCAGGAAGCACTGGGGTAGTAGGAGACATTTTCCCACAAGACTCATCCCATCAGAAATTTTCCCTTGAGATTCAGCCTAGACTTTCCTCTTCCTACCTTCAAGTTATTTCATCTAGCTTCAAATCCTCTAGGCCTCCTTCCAAGCATCCCTTTTGCACACCACTGTGGTGAAGGCTGTTTGTCACCCTGTTTTCCTGGTGCACCCGTATCAGCCTTCATTCCCATGTGCTCTGCCTCTGACGTGATCCTGCAGCAAAGTGCCTGGGCTCCCCAGTGCTGATTAAGCAGTGGGAGGATGGAGGCAATGAAGTCAAGAGTGAGTAACTCCCAGGCAGGAGCTGGCATTTCACTCCATCTCCCGCATGCAGTGCCCACATTTCCTGCACGTCGTGGGTTTCAGTAACAGCACAGCAGTGTCAGAGCTCCTTGGAGAAGCCTGGGAAGGAGCTGTGGGAGAAGATGTATGCAATTCCATCTTTCCATTCGTCTACTGTAACATCAAGTGTAATATAATTAAAGAGCACTGATCTTTACATGGCATCTTCATGTTTCAGAGACCAAATGTGCTGATATAATAATGGGAAATTCCTCTTTCCTGAGTAATTTTTTTCTGGGGTGCAAGAACAAAAGTCACATTTTCAGCTATAGATATGCTACAATTGTAAGCTCTTTGCTGCTATTACCAACAGAACAGTCCTGTTTTCTTGTCCTGGACTTCATGGATGGCAGGAGCACAGGATTTACTTTTTGCCCAGTAATTCATCCCACTCCCAGGTCAGGTTCAGTCCCCTTCGGTGTACCCCTTCTCATATGAATAACAAATCCCCACAGGTCTGTATCAGCACCAGAGCAGAAAACACAGGAAACCCAGTGCCCTGACAGGTTGAGAGCAGTCACAGCACAGACTCAGCAGTCAACTCAAATCTCAACTGCAGGCCCACCAGCAAAGCCACCCTGAAGTTGCTGCTCACTCCCCTAGAGATAAGAGAGGATGAGGCAGGGAGGCTGGAACTGCAGCAGCAGTGGTTTTCCTTTCCATCATGGAAATACTGGGAGTAGATGAGATGAAAGCTCTGGATGTATGGTGGGGCTGGAAAAGATGGGAGAGTTGGAAAGAAAAGGGGGTGGGGAAGACCAGGGCAAAGGGATATCCAGAAAAAGACACTGTGATTCTCCAAGGCAAAATCATGATGATATATACTGCAACAGTACTTACAAAATGATAAAAATCAAGAATTAAAGGGTATAAAAGACTGCCTTCAACAGTGTCTGTAAAACAGCAGAGACACCTGTGCTCCTAAAGCATTCCCCATCCCACGCTGTTATAGACTCACCTCTCAACTCCTGCAGCTCCATGCTGAGGCTCTCAATGTTGGAGTCACAGAAATCAAGGTTTTCCATGGTCTCTGCTCTCACCAGCTCATCCTGCTGCTCTTCCAGCATCAGGCTTAGTTCGGCACGGGTCTTGCTGTACGCCTCCAGGTCTCTCTCCACCTCTCCAATTCTAGTCAGCAGGATGGAGCTGGAGGAGGCTGATCCTGCCTGTGTCAAGTCCTCACATCCCTCCTCCACCTGCTGCTCTGGGGTGCTGGGCTGAAGCTGTGCAGGGCTGACACTTTTCCGCTGGTTGCTGGGTGGAGGCCGGGGCGCAGGCCGGGAGGGTTTGACGGAGAAGGACAGAGACCTGCCCTTGGGCACCGGGCCTCCCTGCACGTGCGCAGCGGCTGTCGTGAGGCTGCTTGGCCGAGGAGGGGGTGGCCTCAGGGCCCTTCTCCTCTCTGCCTGCCTGGAGTGGGACACAGATTCAGGAGACCCGCGGACAATGTCCTTCTCAGAGCTGTAGTCCAAGATGGAGAAGTGACGGGAGACCTTCTCCTGCTCCGCACCAGTACTCGACAGACTCTTCTCAAACTGGGCCAGCTGCTCCGTCAGTTTGGAGTCCAGGTCCGTGCAGCTGTCCCCCTGCACTGCATGAGGGTAGCACTCCCCCCAGCTCCCAGCCCGTGTGTCCAGGCTCACCTGGGCAGTTCCTAAGCTGGAACAGGGCTTGGACTTCTCCAATTTACTGTCCATCCAATTGTCTAGGTCCTGGGTCCTGCTCTGGCTCTCCTGGGGCTCAGATGCTGCCCTGCTATTAGCAGATAAAATCACTTGGTTCCTGCAAGGATTTTGGGGGAAGTGGGGAGCCTGCAAGGGCACAGTGGGGCTCTCTCCATCATGCTTAGGGAGGGAGTGAGTTTCTGAGTTTCCTGGGGCTGCTGAAATAGTTCCCCCAGGCTCTGGCTCACCTGCTTGGCCAGGCCTGCTGCCCTGTGGGGGAGGCAGCTGAGCAGAGGGGAGAATGCCATTGACTGACTTTGTGTGGGGAGAGAGGACCGAGCCCACCGTGCCTTCGTGATGCAGCTCTTGGTGTCCTGTGCTGGGAAAGGCCTGGTGCTGTCTCAGGTCAGTGCCAAGAGGACCCTCTGACCTCCCTGCCTTGTGAGACAAAATGGTGGCAGGCTCAGGATATGTGGCCAAGCCATCCTCCTTTTCCCTGCTATCCTTCTCTGGCAAAGGAGGAGTTTCACAGCAAGTGCTTTCTGGATCTTGATGGATGCTCAATCCACAACTGCCTCCACCTTGCAGATCCCCAGCACTCATCTTTTCCATGCAAGCCTCAGAGGCTTCCAGCCTCACAAATCTGTGTGGAAAGATGCCACGTTTTCCTCTCAGCTCCCCCTCCAGCCAGCCATCCTCCAGAATGCCTACAATCCGAATCCTGTCACCCACATCAAAATCCAGTTCCTTGGACTCCAGGGCTCGGAACTGGTAGAGGGCAACACCATAAGTACTCCCTGGCTCATTGTCTTCTTTGTGGGGCATCTCTACTGTCCCATTGGTGTCACAAATCCCTGTGGGCTCTGGATGCACTGAGGTTCCTGGTGCTCGCAGAGGAGTAAGCAGTTCCACAAAACCCTCTGGGAAGATGCCCCTGCAGCCTCTGAGCTCACCCTCAAACCAGCCAGGCTCTGGGACACCAACAATGTTGATCACATCCCCTTCCCTGAAGTCCAGTTCCTCCTCCAGCTGAGCAGACAGGTCCATCAGGGCCTGGGCTTGGCCCAAGGAGTAGGCAGGCACCTCCAGGAGAGGGCTCTGGGACAGCTGACGTCTCCGAACTGAAAGGCACAGCTCCCTCACACATGATGAGGGGAAAAAGCCCTTGGAACCCCAGCTGCTTTGGCCCTGGAGCCAGCTGGAGGCCAGGGACCCCGCCAGGATCACCAAGTCTCCTGCAGAGAATAAGACACAACAGTTCAAAACTGCTCCCATTATTGCTTCCCACCTCCTATTCCTGCCTCCCCGTGCTCCCTCCTGGCTGTGGGTGAGGACTGGCACTCTGTTATAGCACAGTGCGTGCTGGGGATGCACACAAGCACAGGATGGGATTAAGGCAAGAAGTATCAGCAGCCTCTTGTACATCTAAGACACACAGTTTGGCTGCAAAGCCGTGCAGGCGCATCAAAGCTTTCATTCTCCCCCAAAGCAAGTCTAAGATTTGGAGATTAGAGGTCAGTTAAAAGGCAATTGTAAATTTACTGTGATCAGGTGATGCCAATTTTTGAAGTTTCATGAGTAATGACAGATCATGAGAAACTTGTATCAAAGTGGCAGAAGCCTAGAGGACCATGGTGGATTTGACATGACCCATGTCATGAAGAATTAGGAGATTCACCTCTTTCTTCTGACACTTTAGGTAGGATGTTGTGACTAGGTTCATCCATCTGGAAGGACAGGTGAGGCTTTTGAGGTGCAAAGCAAAGGAAGGGAATGGAGATTACCTCTCTGCAATGATAAGCTCCCTGGCTCTTGAGATGTGAAGTCATTGGTACAAACAAACAGTTTTTCTCCCTGCTTCAAAGAGGGAATATCCACAGGTTCAACAAAGCTGCTAGGAAACTGCCCTAAAAGGAGAATGAGTTGTCAGCAACGAGTCTTTTCTGTGACCTACCACCATCTCCACCCTCCTTCCAGATTTTGGGATCTATTCACCTCTTGCTAAAGGAAAATACCGTTACCCTGGGTACCTCAATAGTCTGGTGGAAAAAGAACAAGTTTGGGATCTAGGAATTCTTGGGGTTTTAAGTACTTAAGAGCTAAAAGAGCTAAAAGTACTTAAGAGAACAAAAGGTTTGAGCCTTTGGCTCACTCCAAGTAACAACAGATTGTGTGCATTACTGAGACTGTAATCTGGGACTCCATCAGCATGGAGCTTCCAGGAACAGACATACTGGGTTTTCTCTGCCCTTACTGCTTTCTTCCCAACTCAGACCCATGGTGAGGACTAAGGAATCCAGTGATGCTGGATCATGGGAGCAGTGTCTTCTGACTGGGCATATTCACTTGGTGCTCCTTCCTCCATAGGGCATGGCCCCTGTGCAGTCTCAGCACAGAATTCAGACTGCCACATTTGGGATGGTCACACCTGTGAGTCACAGGCTCTGTCACAGTTTCAGCACTGCTGGGACTCCAAGGACTTTCCCCACTGTCATTCTGTGTATCTGTTTCACCATGGCACATTTGCTGGCCATCAGATACTAATTTCAGTCCTGAGAGCCATGTCCTGAGAGACGTGGCAGAGCCCATTGCAAAGGCCACTAAAAGTGTCTTTCTTATATCATTTGAGTCAAGGGGATATGATGAAGTATGGGCTAGCACCACACCCAGCATTGCCTCTGGGTGACCAAATATTTTCTAATAAAAGTGAAAAAACCATATCCTAGACATCCAGAGCTTTACACAGTGTTTAGGCAACTTGACACTTGCTATTCTCTGCTGCTTCCTTCACAGTTTTAACCAACTCTCTTTTTCCTTATCTTAGTTTCCTGCTTTGTACATGGAAACAACATAATGCTGTAAGAAAGGAATTACTGTTCATGGAGTTAACAGTAATTATTCCACAGAGTAATGAGTGCAACTAGGCTGCAACACCTCCACAGCTTCTATTCTAAAGTGCTTTTTCAATTCCCTATAACTTTAATTTAGATAGCTGGGCAAAAAACTACAACAGCTGTTCTAAGGGAAAGCAGGAATGCAATTGGGTTTTGATTTAAAGGTCATTATAAACATTCAGTTTGACTTCAGCATGTTTCTGAACATGACCTATGACACACATCTGTTTGTTCTTCCTTAATATCTTCATCTTCTATATAAAAACCTCACCAGTTATGCTGGGAGACAAAACTCTGTTGAAAACTGCACACATAATCCTTGCCCAATGACTTCAGCAGCAGCAACAGGATCAGGCACATGCTCATTCAATGCCACTTATCAGTCACATGGAGCACAGGAGGGAAGTGCCCCTGTGCACCTTTGTTTCAGACAGTAGACAGCTTGTGACTGTTAGGAGAGACCAGACTGCTGCTACAATAGCAGTCTCATCTCTACAGCCAGGGATGAAATCAGTCCCACCCTCATGCTGAAGGCAGAGGCAGGCTTCTGCTTTGAAGTGGCCTGGCTTTCATCTCCCCAAGAGCTCACACATCTTCTTAACATCAGGATTAAGATGAGAAAGAGCTGCCTAAACAGAGACTATGAGACTCTTAGTGTTTCACTAAGAGCATTCTGTTGCTTCAGAGGTTTCTCACACCCTCCAAAAAGTTTAAAGAGACTTGCACACCATTCCAGGCACCTAGATATTGATGATAATTTGTGCACAAAGATGCTTTAAAGCAGAAAGGAGGAAGTGGGCCTGAGTCAGAGGGCTTGGGGTGGGGGGGACGACACATGGTCACTGTTGTTCTATCTCCACTGACAAGGTCACTTGGACTGGTTTCCAGAGTGGATGCATTTCCACTCTCAGTGCATCTGTTTCCTTTCTCCCCTTCCACTGCCACAGCAGGTCAGTACATAAACTAGCCAGGAAATGGGCAGTCTCTCCACAGAGGCTGGAACAACCAGAAACTCCTATCTCCTTGAGAATTGACTCTCCACTAACCTCTCTCAAAAAACAACAGACAAGCTTGTCTGAATAGTTGACACAAAGCTGGCAGGAGACCAGTGGCAACTTTCAATCTTAGTCCCAACCAAAGTCCCATGAAAGATTTAGTAAATCAAATCAGGTCGTCCCCACCAAGGGAAGATGTGCTCATGGAGTGCACACTTAGCTGGCACTTGTATGGAACCAGGTGCAGGCATTTCCACCTCTTACCTGTGACACCTTCCTTCTTGCCAAGGAGCCAAAACTCGTCCACCACAGCCAGCACCTCGATGACATCTCCCACGAAGAGGGGAAGCTCTTCAGAGACGCTGGGACAGAAATCAAAGACTGCCCGTACCACGGAGCCAGCCTCCATTGTGCAGGGTCTGAAGACAAATCAGTGCCTAAGGCTGAGACAGTGAGAAATTTGTCAGCTCTCAGAAACACCTGAAATGATCACACATAAGCCCAAGAAGTAAAACCCTTCCTGAGCACAGAGGCAGATGTGGGGAGATCCTGTCCTGAGCTCCCTGCCAACCCCTTCCCACATGCCGCAGGAGCCAAGGGGCTGCAGCAATGCAGCCTCCATGGTCTAACCTGCCTTGTCCCACTCCTCTGGCTAGCTCTGTAGGATCATGTGTTTGTGCTGCAAGAGGGGGGACAAGCAGCAAAAAATTTGGAAGTGCATTCCCGTCAGGAAGGAAGCAAGAGGAGGGGAGGAAGCTCAGCACTTCCTTGACATGTGGGGCACAGCTCAGTCTGACAGGGCCTGGTGAGCAGCCACCACCAACCACTTGCACGTCCCACCACACACTCTGGCAGGATGGGCACAGGAATCCCTCTCTCCATGCCACCACGCAGGGCCACAGGAACCGCATGCTGAACCGGCACCACAATTCTGGCCCAGCAAGAGAAGAGGCACAAAGTCCTCTCAGGCAAGCTCAATACCACCATCCTCATTCTCAGACCTGAGAATCCTTTCTGAGATCCTGACTGAGATCCTCTCTGCCTTCTAGGTACCTGGCTCAGACATTCCCTGGGTGGCCCCACCATGGCTCTTGGCAGAAGTCAGACTGAGATGAGGACGCAGATCTTGTCCAAGCCTCTGGGAGCCAAAGCTGAAATTCCTCCTGGCAGGAGACTTGAAGGCAGGCAAAGACCTCCTTGTCAAGGGTTATATCCTGGATTCCCCCTTACTCTGGAAGTGGCTGTTGAGGACACTCTTCTGTATAATTTCTGCTTTTCAGCCTCACCGTCAAGGAAATACAGTGCACCAAGGCAGCAGCAGTCCTGCAGCTTAAGCTGCTCCTTTGTCTCCCCCCAAATTCCTCAGGATGGGAACAGGAAGGTTCATCCATCCAAAACAACCAGAAACTTTAAGATTACTGCTCACCTGCACCTCAGACCAATGAGTTTACTTTCATTTCCTGACCCACTGCAAATACAGGCACAGGACAGCACTGCCAACACCTCTCCCGGTGCTTTCAGAGCGCTGCGCTCTGCGATGCTGGCACACCGGCGTCCGCCCCACCAGCCCCCTTGGCACAGGCTGCTTTCGCCCCACACCACGGGCAGCCCCCGTTCCGACACACCGTCCCGGCCGTGGGGCCGCTCTGCTCCTCCCCGGAGCGGCTCCGAGCGCCTCCGAGCTGCAGGCGCCGCCCAGCCGCTGACACCGCCCGTGTCAGCACGGCTCCAACCCCCCTGCAGCTCCGGGCAGGAACAGCGCCGGCACAACACAGCACAACGCAAACACACGGCACCCCAGGGGCAGCCTTTCCCCGCACAGCACACACAGCCCACCTGCGCCCCGGAGAGTCGGGAACAGGAGAAGCTAACGCAGGCAGCAGAGATATGTCCCTGCTAACGAGGTGCAGGCAACTTCCAGAGAGAGTGCCCAGGCAGGGAAAGGCTTTCTGCTGACGGGACCATTCTGTTTATCCAGTCCGACTCACCTCCTGGGAACAAAGTGGGTTTGTACTCAGCAGGAACAGCTTCCTCATCACGTCTCTCCCCGCCCCCAGCCATTCCTCTGCTGCAGCCAGCATGCTGTGCCTCTGGCCACCCTCACCTCTGCCATCCTGTCTGTCTGTCACTCCTATTGATCTCCACTGCCTTCCCCATCGCACGTGGGCTTCCTGGGACACAGGCTGTCCCTTTGTCACCAGCTTTGTGCTGGCTGCACAAACAAAGAGCCCAATATCCAGCAGCAGACAGCACTCTGCCACCAAAAAGAGATGAATGGACTGAAGTGAATCAGGAGCACAAAGAGCTGCAGTTCAGGATAGCAGAAACCTACTGAGGCAGAAGGAGTAACAGTATTAAAAACATGACCATGTGGAGCGAGGAAAAGGACAGAAAAGCCATCAATTAGCTTGAAAATACTAAAGACAATTAAGGATCCTTCTGCTGTTAGAGGTGGGGTGCCTGGAGCATGCTGGCATGTTCTCATGGGAACAGGAGCAGCAGCAGCAGGCGCAGCAGCAGCACCCCTTTGCAGACACCCAGGCTGCCCTCCACCCCCGGACAGGCTGCCAGCTGAGCTCAGGCTCCTAGGAATTCTCTGAATATTCATACTCTGAATATTCAAACTTCATAACAGCACTGGACAAAGAGGGAAAAGCATTGCAGGCACAATTGCTGCCTTAGGGTAGTTTCTCCAGGCGCACATGATGGTACAGTGAGATTTCTTGTATGTCTTCTGTCAAAGGTATAATGTAAGAATGGGCAGAGATATGCAAAGATTACAATATGTGTGCTGCAGACACAGTCCCGGCTTTGCTACAGTCACTGGCGCTGAGAATAGAGCCCTGCCACTGATCCTGCCCATGGAAACAGGAGTGTCACTTCCTTCAACACACCTACAACTCTGGGGACTCATCATTAAAATGGGCAAGATTTTCCAATGAGATGGAGATAGAGAGGGACAGGCAGGACTGCAATAGTTCCAGCATGTATATATTAATTACAGTTACAATAAACCACTAATATATTCATGTCCAAAGCATTCCCTGAGAGGCAACTTGTAAGAAAGCGTGAAGCAACTTCTGAAACTGCCAAAAAAAGAATCCCAACAGGCTCATGTTCCCTCAGCAGTACCAAGAAGAGCAAGATCACTCCCTGACTCCATTGGAGTATAGACAGCATGCCCTTGTATTTGCAAGTAGTAAATCAGTCTTGTGGAGCTTGCTTGCTCAATTACATGAATTAAACACAAAATATTACGTTTTCCAGGGCCTTGGCCTTGTCTTACTCCCTGCAGTGCTGCCTGCCAACATTTTCTACAAACCCCAACCTAGAGAAGGAAGCCTCCCAGCATATTCCAGACTGGAAACTTACTGAGTCCAACCCTTCAGGCTTAATAGTGGACCTGAGCTTCTTCCAGATCCACCCTAGATCTGGTGAAAACAAACATTCAGCAATAGCTCATGCAGAGGCTCCAGAAGGAAAAGCAGACTGCAGGGAGAGCAGGGCTCCGCCTGTGATTCCCTGCGAGTCACGGCTCCTGACTGCTGGCCAAGCACCTCTCACCTCAAGGATGGGTGATCCTTTCCTGCCAGAGGGAAGGAGGGAGAGCTCTGCCACAGCTGAGCAAACTCTGGGACTTCAGGCTGGGGGAGGTCAGGACTGTGGATCGCAGGACTCCTGCCCCCACCCAGCATCCAGAGAGAGCCTCACTGTGCAAGTATGAAGCGGTGGCGCAGCAGGAACTCGCCCTGCTGAGAACACACGGGCTCTGTCTCACTGCCTGATCCTGCACAAACCAGGTAACATGTTCCTGGCGCCTGACCACAGCCTGCCTGGTGCCAAGCTCTGGGCCTGACACAACAGCATTGTGCAGCAAGGCAGGGAGTGGATTCCCAGGGCATTAATCACTCCCTCAGTCTGTATACATGCATGCTCAGCACACACTAACATTACCTTCATGGAAGACTGCTTATCCAATTTTGCTATTAGCTCTGGAGTGTGTCTGGTCCAGCACGGGTCGATGGAAGCAGGGACCAGAATGAAATTATAGCTATTAACTCTGTTACAATATTGTTTTGAGATCTTCAGCATAGACTGGGTCACCAAGAAATGACATTTGCACATAGACTCTGACAACTTCTTCTATTCCTCCTCTTCTTGCAGCTGAAATTGTGCAGGGTAAGAAATCCAAAATAACCGACTCACCAGCATCAAATGTAATTGTCAGGCACTTGCTAGAAGTACCATCACTTAGATGGAGGCAGGACTACTGAAGATGCTGAAGCAAGGATTTTAAGCACTTAAGAGATAAGGCAGCAATGTGAAGAGGCCATCTAGGCTGATTACAAGAAGTATTAACAGCCCCAGTAGAAAGGGAGACCCAAAGCATTTGAGGGCAGCTAATTCACTCCTATCCCAAAGCACGGCTCAGACCATGAGATAAAAACCAGTAATGGATAGATGCCACAAATTAAGCAGCGAAGAAACCAAACTTAACAGGTGCTATTGTCACTTGTCTCTCCACTAAATAATACTTTCCAGCTTCTCACTCAAGAAGCAGCACTGTTAGAACTATGGAGAGTATGACTACACTGTAACTGAAGAACTAACATTTCACCAAACAGACCAAATATGCCATGTAGGCTTCCACAGGCACACAGGATTTGCACAAGAGGGACAAGTAGATTCTTGTTCAGTGGATGTCTCAATCTCTATAATAACTTCAGAATCTGCATGAGCAGTAGACCAGGAATGGTCATATTCCCAGAAATGTACAAAGACAAGCTTGTCACAAAATGATTAGAGAAATTAATATTAAAAATATTAAACAAATGCTGTCAGTGATGTTTTTAAAAATTGAAAAACACCCTGCATTTCACCTAGGTCTTTTTGTGCCTCCTTCCACTCATTATAGCTCAGTGTCCACTGAAAACAGAATCCACCTGCAGTGACAGAGATACCCCTCAGTTCAGTGCACCCTTCAGCTGCTGGAAGATTGGCTTTGACAAGAGAGCTGCTGCAGCTCTTGATGTGCTCTAGACTGCAGGATTAGTACCCAGCACACAGTGGGAGGAACCAGCAGTCATGCTTGGCTTTTCACACCATTGTGTCAAGAACAGAAGCTTACTAACTACATACTAAGACATTTCTACCTTTTCCCTATGTTCCTTCATGTGTTCTCCAAATCTAGACAGCCCTCCTTCCCTCCTCCATACCCCAATGCATCTGCACAGCCTGCACTGTCCTCATTCGCACTTCTAGGATAGGACATTACCTGCACACCAGCATGCCCTGACTGCTCCCATCAGTCTTCAGAGCTGTGGCCACCCACACTCCCTCTCTGCTCAGAGCAGAACATGTTGCTCTGTAAAGCTCCCCGAGGTCCCTGCTTGCCTGCACATTCCTGGGTGGAATAAACAATACCCCGTTGAGCCAGGCTGCCTGGGCCCCAGCTGGAGATGGTGCCAGTGCAGGGACTGTGGCTCCAGCAAATGCAGAGCTGATCCTGTGAATCCAAACAGAATGGACAATGCAGCAAGCAGGGCAAACCCCCAACTAATGGTGCTGAGGAGAGGAGCCTTCTCCCACCAGGGAATGCAGATCACTGCAGCTTCTTGATAGGACACGATGCTTGTCTCATCAGATCCCAAAGAGTCCCCCAGCTGAGGTTCATATAGTGGGAAACATGAGAGGTGTTCTGCACTCCACCTCCTAACACCACACAGCCCTAAGGAGAAAGAGGAATCTTCTCATTCTAAAAAGAAATTGCTTCTTTTGCTTTGTCTGTGACCTGATAGATCAAAAATCATTGATATGAATACATTTTTGGTTGGATCATCGACCCCTGAACAACCAGGACTATCAAGTAAAGGGCTACTTAAGCAAGCTCTGGCCTCCCACCACACCTGTGTGGCACAGGAGCTCTGCAGTGTACCAAACAAGTCATTCAAACCACTACTTCTCTCCAGCTGGGCTCTGGCTGTCAGTGTTCTCACCTGCTCTGTTGCAGGATGTGTCTGAGGGCAGGCTGGTGGTGTTTGTGTGGGTTAAGAGTGGCGTGGCAAGGAAGCAAGAGGAGCTGAGCCAGATGGCAAGCAAACAAAAGTCATCTGGAAACTAGAGCACAGCATCAATTTTTAATGCAAAGCAGAACACCTTGCCACAACATGTGACCAAGATGACTGTGATGGATATTTAATCTCTGGCAGTGGGGTCCCAAGCATGCAAAGGCCAGAACACTAGCTTGGAAGAGGTTCTCAAATTCTGTATGCTGTGGCAGCACAGCACTTACCGATTTTGTTTAAAAGTCCTGTCTCCTGCCACCCCAAGGTATGTGGTTGTGTCTCTTCCCAGTTTTGCAGACAGACTAAAATTATACAACTTAGAATAAGGAACAGACAAACCCCCAAGAGCAGAATCACCATTGCTGTGCAGTACCTGTGGCTGGGCTACAGGTGGTAAGCAGCATACAATTACAAAATTAGTCATTACACCTTGAGTACATATCCAAAACAAGTTGAACTGGGACTACAAGGACATTCCTTAACACTGTAGCACTTGATTTTGCACCCTGAGCAATATTCTTCAAGATAACTTTTAGACAGAAGCCCATTATAATGCTTTGGCTGCTGGGTGGAGAGTCCAGAAATCTGGAAATTACTTGAGTGTGACTTGGAAACTCTGTTCTTTGCTCACCACCATTCCTATTCTGTACTGTATCTCCAAAGAACCTCAGTCCTCAGCAGGGACTCTGCTGCTACCTGGACCTCTTCCTTTCAGAGTCCCTAGGTGCTCCTGAGCAGGAAGCAATAAATTTTATCCCCCCACAGAAAGGTTCTAAAAATAAGACAAAGTAAAAACTGTGTCACTCAGAAGTGGGGTTGAGTAATGTGATTAGAAATATACTTTTGCTGGAGGTAGAGGGGAAATTATCAGTTAAGGCAATGAAGTGCTAAGGTAAGCACAAGTCAGGCTGTCCCACCTAATCTTACATCACCACTGTCACAAAGTCCGTCTGAAATCACCAACTGCAGGGACACCTCAACTGCACCCAGAACCCCAAGAGGTCACACAGCCATGGTTCCCATGACAGCTGGCAGAGGTGGTGCCCTGTAAAGCTCTGAGAATCGCTCTTTTCCTTTGCCCCTACTGCTCAGCTCCTCTCATCCCATTATCAACAGTGCTTTAAAACTGATGTATGTTCAAGCTAGTTTTTAATGTCACTGCAAATTCTAAGCAGAGCAGCTGGAGAGACAACTGAAGCCTTTGGCCCTGACAGAAGAGAGGATCTCACGCACAGAAAGTGGAGGCCAGCTCAGAGACGTGGGCACCGTCAGCACTATGGAGGCCTCACACACAAGCAGGACGCATTTAGACACTGCCCAGCACGACTCACAGCCAGAGTGAGTCAAGATGAGGGGGATGATGGTGACGTCTTGTAGCATGGTACAGAGGCTGTTAGTTGGCAAAGCATCTGCAAAACTGCAAATTCTGTATCTATGAACTCTTTCAGACGAAGAGATAAAATCTCAGTGGAAGCAAAGGAGAGAATGGCAGAGGCAAGGGGAAAGAAAGCCTTTTCAGAAGAAACTGAAAGTTATGGAATCACGACAAACGTCAAAGCAGATGTTTACGCTTATGACACAACTAGAGGTTTCCTAGGTACTACGGCAAGGAGAATGAGATATGAAAGTGGAGAGACAATTTCAAACAGAAGGAACAGCACCAGAGACGTTTGAACCCAAAGGCCAAATTACATCAAGGACAGGATCAGCTGAGGTACCACTTAAGGTCAGCAAAGGGACAGCAGAGGAGCAGCAGCTGTCTCAGAGTATTCTGAGGGTGACCCAAGCCTACATCCCCTGGCAGGGCCACTGGAGAAGACACCTCCAGTTCACCTCTGATAAGTACAAGGCAATGGGGACAAGCTGCCAGTGTTGCAAGAGAGTTTTGTGTTTGTAAGAGTGAAAACAAACAGGGAATTCTTTTAAGTTTCTCTTTTCAGGCTTGAACCGAGTGAATGCCCTCAGAGAAGCACTCGGGAAAGGGACAGTGCTGCAGCTTTGAGCTTCTGCTCTCTGTATAAAACCACTTGTGCCACCCTCACGGGTGTGCAACTCCAGACTCCCGGTGCCAAACCACTATGGGACAGTCACAGAATTTCTAAAGGGCCAGGTGCTCTCCTGCAACAAGCTGTCCAGGCAACACCAGCTACCATCAGCTGCCCACCTGCCTGTATGGTGGCGACCACCCGGGTTACCACTGCCTGAACAGACACGGCTTAGGAGACAACAATCCCCAAGTGCAATGTGGGGAGCAGACGGGCGGCTCCCGCGGTACCGCACAGCTGCTCCACGCTGCCCAGGTGCCTGAAGTGCTGCCAGGGCAGCGTGTGTGCTGTGGGAACGGGGCACAGCGAGCGCCCAGCTGGGCACGCAGGGCTGGAGGGCCACACGCTGCCGCGGCGCGGCTGGCCCGAGGGGAGCGCACCCACCCGAGCTCGGGGCACCCCAGCCTGGGGCACCCACGGCCGGCCAGCGCGGCACAGGGCAGTCCCCGGCACAGGCAGCCCCCGGCACAGGGCAGCCCCCGGCACAGGCAGCCCCCGGCACAGGGCAGCCCCGGCACAGGCAGCCCCGGCACAGGGCAGCCCCCGGCACAGGCAGCCCCCGGCCCAGGGCAGCCCCCGGCACAGGCAGCCCCGGCACAGGGCAGCCCCCGGCACAGGGCAGCCCCCGGCACAGGGCAGCCCCCACGGCCGCGGCGAGCGGGGCCCGGAGCGGAGCGCGGGAGGCGCCGGCGGGGCGCGGGCCGGGCCGGGCCCGGCGGAGGCGCAGGCCGGGGGCGGCCGCGGCATGGGGGGAGGCCGGCGGGGCAGCGGCCAAACCGGGCAGCGGCGGGCGGGTAGAGCCCGGCTCCCCCCGGCCGCTCCGGCGGGTCCCTACCTTCTCCCGGCCCGCTCCGGGCGCTGCGGCCGCTCCGACCCCGGGGGTCCCGCTCCCGCCTCCGCCCGCCCGCGGCGGCCCAGCCCCGCCCGGGCCCCGGCCGGCCCGGCCCCCAGCGCCCGGCCGCCTCCGCCCGGCCCGGCCCGGCGTGGTGCCGCCGGGAAGGCGGAGCTGCTCCGCGGGGCTGGCCCGCAGCCCGGGGAGCCCGGGGCTCGGGTGACGTGGGGACTTCGCCCTGTGCAGCACCGCTCGGCCCCGGCTGCGACGCGTTTCCCCGGCGGCCCACGGGGCCAGCCCGCCGCGGGACACGGGGCCCAGCCGGTGCCCAGCCGGGACGTGGGGTGCAGCCACCCCCGGGCTGGACACGGCACTCGTGCGCCGTGCACCGGGCCAGGCTGCCGGCAGAGCACCGCGGAGCCCGGCAGGCAGCTGCCTGTGCAAAGCCTCTCGTGCTTCCCCACAGCGCGCTGCCGCCTCGCACGCACTGCCGGGGCTCCCCTTCCCCGCTGCTGCCGTGTGGGAATCTCGCTGCCTTCTCGGCTTTGGCTTTGGCAGCAGCTAACGAGTGAGTCTGCACTGTTCATCTGGTGCAGTCTCAGCTTTGCCGCTAGCAGCCTCCTTGGCTGCTGAGATACCTTGTAAGATCATGCCAAAGCACTAAGATGGAGAAAAACAAATAGCTCCCCAGCAGAAATCCATGACAGAGGAGGCCAGTTTGTGCATCACAGAGGATCTGGCATACCAAGTATAGTAGGTCCCGCGCTGGATTTCCTGGCAGGCTAAAAAAAGCCTCCATGCCCCAAGGGATACCATCCCTCAGCAACACGTTGCAAAGCCCGGAGTTTCTAAGTCCCCCTGAGCAGTTACCACTGTTTGGCACTTGTTTGTGCATTTAGCTACAGTTCTCCATAGCAACCACACAGATCTCAGCTTGACTTGCCACCAGCCAGGAGCGGGTGAGCGGAACGCGTCGCATGCTGGCTCTCAGAGTCGTGTTAGTACGTGCACAGGCTGGCTGCTGATTCCCGTCTGTTCTCCCGAGGTGGGGACCCACACTGCTGCCTTGGCACGAGGCCGTGGGCAGGGGGCCTGAAGCTGCACAGGTGCTCTATTCCCTGCAGGTGTGGATGCTTGTAGACCCTTTACTGGTGCTGAAGAATGAACACCAGCCCCTGCCACAGGGCTCTAGATGTCCCCTGGCCCAAAATTTCTATTGTTCTTGCCTGCCAAAGAAAGTTTTGAGCTTTTTTCATCATCCCAGTCCTTCCTGCAGCTTTTCAGGTCGCTGCTGTGACCAACTCTCCTCTGCTGACATCCCCATCCAAGCTGCTTCGTTTTTCTTTGAGTTCACTTATTTGTATTTCCCCTTTTCTGCCTTTTCCATGCCAATTACAGAAATGAGAAGGCATTGCATGACAAGTTCTGTCTGCCCTCCTGGTTCTCCCAAGATCCTCACAGCTTTGCTTATAAGAATTTTGGTTCACTTTCCTGGGCCTGGCTTCACTTTGTTTAAATGTTTTCCACTGTCTGCACGCAGTTCTGGTCCTTTCTTCTCAGGGTAATAGAAAATGGAAGAAGGTTTGGAGGCAGGTGGTAAGGATGCTCAGAGACATGGGAACAGACTGTACAGTGAAAAACTGTAGGCTGGGACTCTTCAGCTTGGAAGAGGGACATACTGTAGGGAAGAGGTCTACAAAATCATGAGTGGCCCAGAGAAGATGGGGAGGATTGACTGTTTGCCATGTCTTCAGACACAAACCTTATGACTGTTTTTGCCTTGATTGAAGCCTCAAAAGCTAAGAAGTCCCTATCCTGCAGATATTGCATCCAAAGGTTGTGCCCTTTCTAGCCCACACTTCTTGCAATACTGGGGGCAAAGCTCATGGCAAGCCTTTGAGGGGTGTGCTTAAAAATGCTGCCTCAGAAACATTTTGTAACCATGTTTTCACGTGGGGAGCTCAGTCACGGCCAAGTGGAGCTCTACCAAATTGTTCAACACAAAAATATTCAGGGCTGGGAAGAGAATGAGCTGGACAAATCCCAGCCCAGAGAGAGAGACCTCCAGAGGGTTGTATCTTGGAGGAACACTTTTGTAGGGGAAAATACTTGTGACCGAGACTTAATTTTTCTGCTGCACTGCCAACCCCACAGCAGCCTGCAAGGGTGAGTGATGTGGCCTCCTGGAATGCTTGTCCTGTTCTAGGGAAGGAGTCTCCCTCCTCTGACTCTGCCCTGGAAAGTGGAATTGAGACGGTCCCACATTTTTTAGGACCACAAGAGGGCAACATGAGAGCACCCTGCAGCTAGCAGGCTCAGCAAGAGGGCCTGTGACACTGCTGGGATGCAGGTAGCAGGGGCAGGTCTCAGCATCACCCTGTCCAGAGACCACCCAGCTGAAAATGCCAGCTGAAGGCTGCTCCCTGGGAGCTCTTTTCTTGCTCTCAGCTTCATACACATCCTCAGAAGTCAGTGGTCAGCTCAGCCAGCAGAGTGCTATAGTTGGGGGCAGCAGTATCTTCCTGCACATGGGCTGGACACTTGGTGACAGCAGACCCTTCTAAATGCTGCCGTGGGATGCAGGGTGCCCTCCCTCGTCCTGCCTGCATGTCCACCACGAAATCCCTTGGGTGAATGTGCACTGACACGTGGCTTCCAACAGGAGGGTCCAGCATCTGCAGTGATGCTGCTGGCCTTGGCCAGTGGAAGAGGTGTTAAACCACACAGAAGCTGGAGCATCTCAGCCTTGCCATGCTTTTTCATTTCCTTCTGCCTCAGAAAAAAGAAAAAAAAAAAAAAAAAAAAAAAGAAAGAAAAAAAAAAAGAACTGGAATTCAGCTTTGGCTGTGACTGCTGAACTGGCCAGTGTCTCCAGTTCTGACTGGTTTCTGCAGACCAAAATCACTCACAGCCACTGTTAAGAGCATTACCATTCTGGGCACTTTTTTGCAACAGCCTGTATAATTAACCTGCAAGGGACAGCTTCCTCTGCCTTTGCAAGAAAAGGCATGGCAGAGAAAGAGCTTCTGTTAGCAGGCAGAGCCACAAGAGTGTGTGTGTCCTGCTAATGCTGGAAATGCCACCAGCATCTTGTAGCAAGAGACAGAAGAGGATGTGACCATGAGGGGTGAAGTGCAGAACACTGCTTCTGCAGTAGGGTGGTACAGGTTGCTCACAAGAAATTATGTTTACAAAAGAGGGGAAGCAAAGAAATGTTTGGGGGATGCTTTTTTACAGGCTTTAGACAGGGAGAGAAACGGTGTAACCAATGGCAGTATGGTGGAGATCTATTGGGATATCTATTGGGATAACCACCCAAGGAAAAAAGAAATCACTGGGCCATACTGTTTACCCCTCTGGAATTATTTGTTTTCAATGAAGAATGCTAGAAAGGTTTTGCCTGCTTAAGATATTTTTACCATGGAAATAACCAGTTTTGTTTCTACTCTTGCTGCCATTCCAAACTTGCCCACACAGCCTAAGCAGCATTTTGAGCCTGCCTCACTGAACTATGGATCCTTTCTCTCCTACCCTAATTAAAGCTTGCACAGCTTATGCTGCACCTGCACAGCACACTGCTGGCATCAAGTATCCACGCTTCCCTAGTGCATACTGAACAAAGGTTCAGCGTATTTGTCTCAAAGGAACATCCAAATAACCTGGGCTGGACTTCTACTTATCACCAGTTGTCAGATCTCACCTAGTTGCTTCTGTGCACAGAGTAATAATTTGGGTTGGATAGAGCAAACCCCTCAGCAAGCCATCTTGTTTGGGTCTGAAGACTTAAGGAGACAGGATAATACTTGGCTTTTGCCAGCAGGTATAATTTCAAGCTGACTACAAATAATCCAAGCTAGCTACTAGAAAGTCTCATCTGCACATCAAGATCAGGAGATGACTCTGAACCATCACCTGCTAGAGTTACCAGTCAGCATTAGCTGTGCTGCACATGGTTCAAACTGTGTTCAGAGCTGCTCACATCACTGCCTGCTCTAAAACTGACCTTCCCCTAGCTTTGGGATCTGCAGGCAGCAAATGTCCTTATCTGAGGGAGAAGCGTGGCACTTGCACCCAGAGGACTAATGTTCATGTTCCCAGTTTGTGACTGCACCTTACACCAAGGCTTGGATTCATTATCCCTGGTATACACTAGAGGCATTTAATATGGGCTGTGGCAACAGTCCAGGAGTAAAGGGAGCAGAGCTCCCGGAGATGAAGCAAGTGCAGGAGAAGAACTCAGCACACACAGACACACTGCCCAGGGAACTGTAGCCCAGGCACACTTTGTTGTGAATGACTTCACAATTTGCTCAGGGATTAAATACTTCCTTATTTAATAATCTGGGCGAGTTTCATGCTGGACTGTTGGAAAGTTCACTGGCTGGAGTCATCAGCCAGGCCTCATGTAAACGGCTTCCCCAGCTCTCAGCCAAATGACCTGTCCTCATCTTTGGGTCCCCCGGCGGGTGGCCCTTGGCACCACCTTCTTCTGAAGGGCTTTGTTGTTCATACGTGTGCCTGAGGCTTTACGCTCCGCAGGCTTC